GGCCTCGCGCGGCAGCTTTGTCCAAAAAACCAATTATCCTCCGTGAGAGATCGGGGGAGAATGGAGGATGCCACTCTAACCCCAATACTCCCAGCGGCTTGAGACAGCATGCCGTCAGCTCGGGATCCGACACGCGGCAGCGCTGGCTCTCCCGAAGGGGGCAGTGCAGCCGCATCCTCATCTCCCGAGGACTGTAGCCCGCCTAGTGATGCTGCGATCGACATCACATCATCATCTGGAGCGCTGCTCGAAGCAGCCGGTACCACTGAAGAGGCAGCCGACTGAATCGAACTAACGCTCGCTGGCTCACGCACTGAGGCGGGAGTGTGGCCCCGAGAAATCGTCGGGGCTTTATGCCACACCGTCACGTTAATTCGCCGGGCCCCGGTCGACGGGCCCCCTTTCGTGAAGGAAGCGATCGAGTAAGGGGACCGGGGGCTCTCACTCTAGTGAGATTTTTTTTTTTTTATATATATATATATTTTTTAACCTCAGTGTGGAGATGGTCATGTCCCCATAGCAGGAACATGAGTCATCCACGAACGCTGCTGCTGCATGCTGAATGCCAGGCATACAGAGCAGCGATCGCGACCATCAGATGACGACAGAAATCGACCGCATCCAGAAGAACACGGGCGAACCGTCAGAGAGGAGGAAATTCACTCTTTCAGCGCTGAGGCGACCAGGGAGAAGCGCAAAGTCTGGCAGACCACTGCACAGATCGCAGGCAATGCAGAAACTCGCTGGGTACCGCCGTCACACCAACACTGAAGAGGACGCTCGTCTCGAAGAGTCTTGTAATAGCTTTCAGGAGTGAAGAGGTTCTCTTGGCTCCGAAGCGAAAACATACTGCGGTTGCGTTCACTTCCTCCTTTTATACTCACGAGTAGGCGGGAGTACGCTATGCAAATTTCACGCAGCCCCAAGCATTGCATGCCATTGGCTCGTTTTTAAATACTCGAAGAGGATTGGCTTTCTATGCGAAACCCCCAATCTCCGTCACTTCTGACGTAACTCGAAGTGACTACGAAAGGGAACCAGAGTTTCGAGAAGATTGGGGATACTAAATTTTTCGCCCCAAAAAAAAAAACGTAAGGGGTAACACTGTTGGGTTTTTTTTGGGTCGAAATTGTGAGTTTCGATATCTCAGCTCTGGAAGGGTCTAGAGCCTCCATTTTTGCACTCAGGTGTAAGTCTCAGTGCCCTCTATCAGAATCCAGAGTTTCGAGAAGATTGGGGATACTTAATTTTTCGCCCCCAAAAAAACCGTAAGGGGTAACACTGTCGTTTTTTTTTCGGGTCGAAATTTTGAGTTTCGATATCTCAGCTCTGGAAGGGTCTAGAGCCTCCATTTTTGCACTCAGGTGTAAGTCTCAGTGCCCTCTATCAAAATCCAGAGTTTCGATAAGATTGGGGATACTAAATTTTTCGCCCAAAAAAAAAATGTAAGGGGTAACACTGTCGTTTTTTTTTTGGGTCGAAATTTTGAGTTTCGATATCTCAGCTCTGGAAGGGTCTAGAGCCTCCATTTTTGCACTCAGGTGTAAGTCTCAGTGCCCTCTATCAGAATCCAGAGTTTCGAGAAGATCGGGGATACTAAATTTTTCGCCCCAAAAAAAACGTAAGGGGTAACACTGTCGTTTTTTTTTCGGGTCGAAATTTTGAGTTTCGATATCTCAGCTCTGGAAGGGTCTAGAGCCTCCATTTTTGCACTCAGGTGTAAGTCTCGGTGCCCTCTATCAGAATCCAGAGTTTCGAGAAGATTGGGGATACTTAATTTTTCGCCCAAAAAAAAAACGTAAGGGGTAACACTGTCGTTTTTTTTTTCGGGTCGAAATTTTGAGTTTCGATATCTCAGCTCTGGAAGGGTCTAGAGCCTCCATTTTTGCACTCAGGTGTAAGTCTCAGTGCCCTCTATCAGAATCCAGAGTTTTGAGAAGATTGGGGATACTAAATTTTTCGCCCAAAAAAAAAAAACGTAAGGGGTAACACTGTCGTTTTTTTTTCGGGTCGAAATTTTGAGTTTCGATATCTCAGCTCTGGAAGGGTCTAGAGCCTCCATTTTTGCACACAGGTGTAAGTCTCAGTGCCCTCTATCAGAATCCAGAGTTTCGAGAAGATTGGGGATACTTAATTTTTCGCCCAAAAAAAAAAAGTAAGGGGTAACACTGTCGGGTTTTTTTGGGGTCGAAATTTTGAGTTTCGATATCTCAGCTCTGGAAGGGTCTAGAGCCTCCATTTTTGCACTCAGGTGTAAGTCTCAGTGCCCTCTATCAGAATCCAGAGTTTTGAGAAGATTGGGGATACTTAATTTTTCGCCCAAAAAAAAAACGTAAGGGGTAACACTGTCGTTTTTTTTTCGGGTCGAAATTTTGAGTTTCGATATCTCAGCTCTGGAAGGGTCTAGAGCCTCCATTTTTGCACTCAGGTGTAAGTCTCAGTGCCCTCTATCAGAATCCAGATTTTCGAGAAGATTGGGGATACTACATTTTTCGACCAAAAAAAAAAACGTAAGGGGTAACACTGTCGTTTTTTTTTCGGGTCGAAATTTTGAGTTTCGATATCTCAGCTCTGGAAGGGTCTAGAGCCTCCATTTTTGCACTCAGGTGAAAGTCTCAGTGCCCTCTATCAGAATCCAGAGTTTCGAGAAGATTGGGGATACTAAATTTTTCGCCCCAAAAAAAAAAAACGTAAGGGGTAACACTGTCGTTTTTTTTCGGGTCGAAATTTTGAGTTTCGATATCTCAGCTCTGGAAGGGTCTAGAGCCTCCATTTTTGCACTCAGGTGTAAGTCTCAGTGCCCTCTATCAGAATCCAGAGTTTTGAGAAGATTGGGGATACTTAATTTTTCGCCCAAAAAAAAAAAACGTTAGGGGTAACAATGTCGCTTTTTTTCGGGTCGAAAGTTTGAGTTTCGATATCTCAGCTCTGGAAGGGTCTAGAGCCTCCATTTTTGCACACAGGTCTAAGTCTCATGGCCCTCTATCAGAATCCAGAGTTTCAAGAAGATTGGGGATACTAAATTTTTCACCCCCAAAAAAAAACGTAAGGGGTAACACTGTCCTTTTTTTTCGGGTCAAAATTTTGAGTTTCGATATCTCAGCTCTGGAAGGGTCTAGAGCCTCCATTTTTGCACTCAGGTGTAAGTCTCAGTGCCCTCTATCAGAATCCAGAGTTTCAAGAAGATTGGGGATACTAAATGTTTCGCCCAAAAAAAAAAAACGTAAGGGGTAACACTGTCGTTTTTTTTTAGGGTCGAAATTTTGAGTTTCAATATCTCAGCTCTGGAAGGGTCTAGAGCCTCCATTTTTGCACTCAGGTGTAAGTCTCAGTGCCCTCTATCAGAATCCAGAGTTTCGAGAAGATTGGGGATACTAAATTTTTCGCCCCCAAAAAAAATTGTAAGGGTTTTACTGTCCCTTACACTGTCGGTTTTTTTTCGGGTCGAAATTTTGAGTTTCGATATCTCAGCTCTGGAAGGGTCTAGAGCCTCCATTTTTGCACTCAGGTTTAAGTCTCATGGCCCTCTATCAGAATCCAGAGTTTTGAGAAGATTGGAGAAACTTCATTTTTCGTCCCAAAAAAAAAAAACGAAAGGGTTTCCACTGTCGTTTTTTTTTTCGGGTCGAAATTTTGAGTTTCGATATCTAAGCTCTGGAAGAGTCTAGAGCCTCCATTTTTGCACTCAGGTCTAAGTCTCATGGCCCTCTATCAGAATCCAGCGTTTCAAGAAGATCATAGAAAGATCATTTTTTTTCGGGGCGAGAAATTAAATTTCTCCAATCTTCTCAAAACTCTGGATTCTGAAAGAGGGCCATGAGACTTAGACCTGAGTGCAAAAATGGAGGCTCTAGTCTAGACCCTTCCTGAGCTGAGATATTGAGGTCCCACGTAGCATTTATGCCATTATAAATATCTCAATATCTCAGCTCAGGAAGGGTCTGGAGCCTCCATTTTGGCACTCAGGTCTAAGTCTCATGGCCCTCTATCAGAATCCAGAGTTTCAAGAAGATCAGAGAAACTCCAAATTTCGACCCGAAAAAAACAACAGGGGTACCACACATCTTCTCAAAACTCTGGATTCTGATAGAGGGCCATGAGACTTAGACCTGAGTGCAAAAATGGAGATCAAAAACACAACCCGAATCCCCATTCAATAGATTGCTGGTGGGACTGCGTCCAATTGCAGCATATTGAATGAACTGCGGAAAAACTTTAAAAAATATAGTGGGTTATTGGACAAATAGTGGGTTCGTGGGATGGGGCCGGGACATTTGGTAAATATAGTGGGTTATTGGACAAATAGTGGGTTCGTAGGACGGGGCGTGGCCCTGGAGTGGTCGAGGGGTGGTCCCGTGACATTTGGCAAATATCGTGGGTTATTGGACATATAGTGGGTTCGTGGGACGGGGGCGTGGCCCTGGAGTGGGCGAGGGGTGGTCCCGTGACATTTGGCAAATATAGTGGGTTATTGGACATATAGTGGGTTCGTGGGATGGGGGCGTGGCCCGGGAGGGGGCTGATCCCGTGACATTTGGCAAATGTAGTGGGTTATTGGACAAAATGTTGGGTTCGTGGGACGGGGGCGTGTCAGTGGGCGTCGCCCTGCGGAAGCGGTGGTCGGTCGGACAAATAGTGGGTTCGTAGGACGTTTCGAGGATGGCTCCACCGAGGGGGCCTTTGCGGAACTGCCTCGGGGGTCCCGAAACTTCGGTCATTGGTCATTTACATTTTCACCGCTAGATGGGGGTAAAAATCACACAGTGTAGCTTTAAACTTGAATATTTCCATTTTATTTTTTACATACTGAGTTATACAAAATAACAACTGTGGTACACATGATTGCTTTCCTGAGATGAAAATACAACAATTTACAATAAAAATACGATTTTAAGAAGATTCTGGTCACTGTGGAAGTGTGCTGAACATGTGACACGGCATACAAGATTATCACATCAAACTGTTTACAGATGCAATACTGCGGATACATACAACTTTCTTAATGATTCAACTATCTTATGCTGAGGTTAGTTAATGTGTTTGCAAATATCTGTTTTCACATATCCATATTCAATCAAGTGACCTAAGACCACCTATTAACCTGCTAAACTAAAGCTACAACTCAATTTAAGCCAATAAACCCCATTTTAAAGTTTTGTTTGGTTGAAAATGCAAATAGAAATAGAGGCAGATTTGATCTATAATGCACATTTGCTTAAGTGTCTAATATTAAAACTGAATTTTTCAGAACAGCATCAACAACAATAAACACCAGAAAGTGCATTATCGGGCAGCAGGAAGCTAAACCACGCTAGAAAACCCAATACAGATTTTAACGTCAGTGGACGCCAGGTCACCCAGAGTCCCAGGTTATTCAGAGTCCTGTTTGTCATCCATCTCAGGTGGGCTCGTCTCCTCTCTCTTTGGCCTCACGGCACTGCTGCTGATGGACAGAAGATCCCTCAGCTCTTTGTTTTCAATCTGCGTAAACAAAAAGGGGTTTTATCAACATACATATTCAGCAATCTTATTGGTTTGGTTGCTCTGAAACTATTGGATGAAGCTAAATAACAACAAGTCTTCTGTAGGATTAAACCTTACAGCAAAATTAAACGTGTATCATGATGAACTTTGCAGTTATTGAACTGAACTGAATCAACACTGAACTGACTTGAGCTGAATTATGACACTATTGTCTTTTTAGAGCTGCTTTTTCAGCACAATTTGAATTAGTCTCAAATTTATGGAAGCATATGGGTAGCAATATTCAATTTGAAATGTAATATGCGAAATGACAATGCAATATGTAAAATGGCACTGCATTCTGTATTTAAAGTTACATTTTACATTACCATTCTAGCAACGTTTGGTGCAAAATGAAAATTAAATTACATCATTTACATTTGCCATTTAATACACTAGTTTTAATATGCATATTTAACATACTGATGGTCTTCAAAAAAAAAGTCACACCTGTGGTCTTCGGGGTCTATTGGACCCCAGACAATAAGATTTAATTTTGTAACAGAATAATATATTTTTTTTTAACAAATATAATTTTACTCTGTTTATTAATGTTTTTACTCAACATTTGTGTAGTTTTTGGAGGATTTGTGATATTTTTATTTTTATTTCTGTAAATAAATAAATATTTATTTAAATAGGATCTTTACAAAAAGCAGCATTTAATGTTAAATAAACTTTATAAAAGACCCAGATTTCTAACTTTCATTCCTGGGGATACCATGGATAATTTTACAAGGTTGAATGCAAGATTTTTGCTCATTTTTTAGAAAATACAGGTTAAAATTTGTAATAAGTCACTTTAACCACTAGATGTCTATAGAGCTCCACTAGCCCTATATACTATTTGAATTACTGAAAGATATAGTTTCTAAAGTTGGATTCAGTTGGATTCATATCTAAATATTATAAAATCACAATTATAACAAAAATAAAATACTTTGTCAAAGTTTAGCATTTGTTTTTGTAAAAAAAAAAAAAAAAAAAAAGCAAATTGGGAAGAAAAATCGAACAACTAGGAACAATAGTTTGGAACAATAGAACAATCTTTTTTATAGCCTTACAAATGTATTCCTGTGTGTGTGTGTGTGTGTGTGTGTGTGTATGCACATTTCCAATGTGTCTTAGTGTTACCAATTTATTTTTGCGGTGGTTCTGCATTTTAGAGTATTTTATTTTACAAATGATAAGAGAACAGTTTTTATAGTCTGTATGTATTCCTGTATATTGTATTCCTCTATATGTGTGTGTTTGTGTGTGTGTGTGCGTGTGTGTGAGCATGATAATTTTGGATTGTGGATATTTTTTGCATTGTTGGAAGTGTGCCACTTTATTTCTGTCATTTCTGTCTGTGTTCTGCGTTATTTCTGATTTTGATGATGAATTTTGTCTATTTTGAGTCCAATGATAAATAAATATGTATTTATTTATAGATATTTAAAAGATATCACAAATCCTCCAAAAACTGCACAAATGTTGAGTAAAAACATTATTAGACATAAATATTATATAAACATTTTTTTTTTTTTTAACTATTGTTCTGTTACAAAATTAAATGTTATTTTTTTTATAGACCACGAGTGTGACTATTTTTGTCATGCCTACATAAAAACAGATAACATTACATTTTAATTTTTTTTTTGTAGAAGTTTCATACCATTTGGAAAAAGAGAACATTTTTTTTAATTCAAGCAAAAGTAATTTGGGGTCCAGTGGACCCCGAAGACCATCAGAGGGTTAAACGCTTTATAAGTTGCAAAATTAAAAATTAAAATGCATCACAGAAATTATTAGATATGTTAAACCTGTTCAAGCAATAGCTAATTGGTTGAGCTAATACGAGCGTTAAATTCTTTAGCAGATCAAATGGAGCGTGAACAGAGAAACGGTAGTATTTCCGAAGATTATTACGCGTATATTAAAATATATTTAAGTTATTGTTTACTTCAGTCCACACTGCTGCCATACAGTACTTACTTTCCAGTTATGTGAAGCAGCTTTCAAAACAATTTCTATTGTATTGAATAAAGGTGACTTGAAAATAAAGGTGAGTTACAAAAGCATAAATTATACGTCAAAATCAAATAAAGGCAGTACCTCGAGCTGTGCCAGTCGCTCTTTCACCGAGCAGTAGTGTCGGTCGTCCATCTGTACAGCTTGACGCATAACTTGACCCATTTCACAGATCCGTTCCAGTTGGTTTTGAACCTCCTGGGGGAAAAAAAAGCTTATTTTAGGTTTCACTCTGACATATTTTTTAAAGATTGATCATTTTGTTGAGTTCGAAGTCAAAACCTTATGATTAAAACCTTTTCTAATCTTGACAAAACTTATATTGTCAGAAAGGTCTGTGTCTCAAGGTTCCAAATTTTGTGACAGAATTGATATTTGGACAGAAACTTATTCATTTGTTAAGGCAGAATCCATACAACTAAATTCAATGGCACCCGGTGGCTGTTTTTGGTACTGCGCCTAAACAAAATCTCATGGGAACTTCAATTTTTGTGATATCAACTTCAAATTTGGAACATAACTTGGTTAGATCTAGCTTTGATTTTATAGTAATTTTAGAGTAAAATATATTATATAAAATAGAAAATAGTATAGTAAAGTATATTTGATTTACGGTAAATTTAAACTTCCATAACGTTTTAATACTTTCATTTTTTTAACGTTTTAATACTTTCATTTCGTGTTTTCACTTCAGCAATAATCTGCTGAGTGTTTTTCTTTTAAAACAAGACCAAACTTGGGTATATATTCTAAAGCATTCTTGAATTACAACCATTTAAGTTTGAATACTGCATTTTAACCCCCATTCTCAAAAAGGGGGATGACAGATAAAGGGTTAAACACGAGTCCTCATCCTTTGGATGTGCAGCAAAGTGGATTTGCACATGAACCAAACTCGTCCAGTCTCAGCTACAACTACAGTGTTTGAGAGTCAAAGTAGACATAGACACATGGTATTGTTGCATTGTGCAAATTTGTTATAAATCCTAAAATAGGTTCGTGCAGAAATTGAGACTGGGAGATTGAGACACTCTTTGAAACTTTAACATTCACAAATAGCTGTATTACACACTACTTGACAAGTAATATTTGAAAAAGCATAAAGGGGCACTTTAAAGGAAAGACATCTTGTGTGATGAAAACTACTGAGAAATCAAAGGTTTGGCACCATGGCATTTTCCTGGTGAAGGTTGAGCACAGGTTTAGTGTCCAGCTCTTTCTTTTCCATCATCAGCTGAAGCATCTGCTTTCGGTACCGGCCCATGATCAGCTCTAAAGCGTACTGGTGCTCCTCCAGAGACAGCCAGAGATCTGTGAACAGCACAAACAGTCCAATCAAGGTTTCACTTTCAAAATGTGAGACTCTCTGAAGAAACTCGATCCGTCTTGCCTCTGTTCTCCTGCTGGAGATCTTTGATTTGGGTGTTCTCCTGGGTCAGCAGGACGTGAGGTTTGTATCTGGACAGCTCCTGATACTCTGTGCCTTCCTCGGTGTACTAAAGACAGGGAAAATAGAGCTTCATATTGGGTAGTTATTGATTATTCTCCCTATGGTGTCAAAAGCGATGTAACATATATAGGGTTCTGGGGCTGTACAATAAAACTATATATATATTGTTTTTGAGAGAAGAATATTTGACTCTATCCAATTAATCAAGTAAACAAACAACAGAATAATATATCAAAATGATCATTAGTTGCAGGGTTGAAATCAGCATAAATTTAAATTTAGTCCCAAATGCAAAAAAAAAAAAGATATAGATAAAAGATAAAAGAATAGATTAGTACTAAAACATTAATATACTTTGAAAAAAAATCAATCATAAAATTGTATATTATCAAGTTTATTCCTGACTTCACTTTGGACAAAACGTGACAAGACATGATGTGCATGTCAACAGTATTTATAAATCAGACCTAATATCAATTATCAGCCATAAAACTAAAAATTATGATCAGTTATCAGTCAAAACTTTAATATTGCATTGCAACCATGCTTTTATCCACAGATTTTCCTGGAATAACCAGAGGCAACAAATAAACATAAAGTTCTTATGTTTTTGTCTTGTTTTAAATGACAAATATCAAAATAAAATATTAAATCATCATACAAACAAACTCAATGACAAAAATGACTTAAGATATGTCTTGTTGTCTGAAAAATGTATTAGTTAATCCTTAAAACAAGTAAAACATTATAATAAAGCCTTTGAATTAAGATTATTTTTCATAACCCCATGTCATATTTGTTTTTGACAACAAGACTCGCTATCTGAAGTCATTTTGCTTCTCAAGTAAAGCAAAACCCAAACTGAGTAATAAAACTATTTTTTGTAGTGTTTACAACATTTGCTCATCAGCCCAGGTCTTACAATCATATTGTGCAATGTGCATGCAATAACATGCAAACAACTGTAATTCGTGCAGTGCATGCTCTTTTTTTGTCATACTATAACGTTAGGAGCTCTGTAGGGTGGTCAGTAAGAGATTTTATATCATGCCTTGTCAGGGAGAGTGTTTCCGACCTCCTTCATGCTGTGTATCTTCTGGCTGAGGACGCTGGACTGGTCGATGAGACCCTCCGCGGCGTTATCGTGTTCCTTCAGCCGCTCCAGGAGAGTCCTCGCGTCGCCGAGCACCTTCTCCAGCGAGCACGACATCCTCTCGGTGACCCGCTCAAACTACACCGCTGTGCTTATCGGGCGCGACGCATTAACAGTACAACTACAACAATGTTGAGATATATTACATATTCACTTCCTCATATCGATCACAAAATAAGGAGATCTGTCAACTAACAACTAACTAAAAGGAACTTCCTGTACTAGTCAACGTCAAACACGTCACTGTCTTTTGAACAATTTATTTTCAAAATAAAAGTCTGTGTGGTAAAAAAATTAGTAATAATTTTTTACTTGATAACATTTTCAGTATTCTAAATTTTGAGCATATTTGTTTTACTAAGATCAGCATAAATTCAGTCCCAAAACGAGGCAATAGAACGTATTTATTCTCCACAAAATTCAAAATTCAAAGTCATTTGAGATTATATATCATGTTTTCATTCCAGAAGACTACAGCTTTAATGTACGTTAGCCATCATATCCGTCATATCAACCATGACACAAAAATTATTATCAGTTATCAGGCATAATTGTAATATTAACCTGAGGTTTATTCTTCAAACAAATAAAAAGCCTGTATGGGTGAAAATAAAAGTAGTCAAATTAATTAACATGTTTTCTTTTTTTAAAATAACATCCTAAAATTACTACTATTACAGTTTTTCTCAATTGCTTTGGCTCAGTTCTCAAATGTTTTTTTTTTATTTCCCAAAACATTAAGTTCATATCTCTGAACAATTCGCTTCTTTTTCACATCAGATTGGAATTACTTATTGATTTGAGCAAATTGCAAATGCTTTGGCACATGTGTGCAAAGAGTACATACAACTGTCTGCAATTTGGACAACAAAGAATTGCATATGGCTTGTTGATCAAAACTGATGACTCGATTCTCACTAACACTGTCAAACACTTCAGAACTTCTCAGAAATGTTTTATTGTGTAAGCCATCACATTCAAAACGATCTATTCAATTATCATAATTTGTATACATGCATGTATATTCTAAAATATATCTGACATTGACATTGTTTGTAATGTTTGCTAAATTGGCACATGACTTCTAATTGCATTCGCAATCTAATTGCAAATTACCTCTAATATGAATCAACCATTTAACCAATCAACTTTGGGAGTATATATATATACATATATAGAATGGAGGACATTCACAACCCTGAACTGCATCAACAAGCTCATGGAAGAGCAATTGGAAGGCGTGTAAAAATACGTGGTGGTGGTAGAGGAAGAAATAATCGAGGAAGAGGTGGAAATAGAAGAGTCAGAGTCTCTGATGAAATCAGAGGCACACTTGTGGATCATGTCATAAATCTGACCATTGCAGGGGATGGGTGCAGCATTCAAGGAGATTTTTTCCACGGTGTGTGGCAATGGTAACATCAGATGTTGATGAAAATATTTGGCCTGACCAACGTGAGCGACAAGATGTCCACCAAGAATAATTTGTTTCTTTTTTTTTCTTCATTAATGTTATTTTGTTGTTTGTGTATTTGTGGTAATACACAAAAATGAAATGTAAAGTGAAATCTTGTTACTCTTGTCAGTTACTTTACATGTACAGTAAATACACTTGTATTGTGTACACATGAAGTACAAAAATAAACAATGTAAAAATACAAATGTTCATAGAATTTTTTTTTTCTACATACTATTGACTTTTCTCAACAAATATGAGATTTGTTTACAATAAACCCTTAATTTTCATGGTTGACTGTTGTGGTGAAAAAACAACTAAACATTTTGACCAGTGTGGCTCACACAATGACAAAAATACTTAAGATTTTGGTGGCCTTGGCCAAATTATTGACAAAATAACTAGGTTTTGAAGCATGAATTAAATGTTTTGGGTGAGTAACTACATTTTGCAGACATGCTATAAAGTTTTGAAGTTCCTGCAAACAGTTGTGACATTTGCACTCACAGTTTAGAGAATGTTAAGACTGTTTTGAAAAATGTGCCAAAGCAATTGAGAAAAACTGTAATACTTGTAATAGTACGCAAAATGTACATTGCTAACCAAATCAAATGCTTGTAAAATTAATTTTTTTTCTAACTTTTAAATACACATTTGAGGAACAGAATGATTGTGTGTAATTTATGTTGGAGATTAGGCCTATATAAAAATAGCACATATACGGTCGAATATGAATAAAGTATTTCAACATCTAGGCCTCTAATTCATCAAGACAAACTATGATGTTGGCTTGAGAAAGCATGAACAGAAAGTTTGAAAAGGTTTTAAAAGCTTGAAGTTTGAAGGTTTTCAGTTTGAAGTAGATTTAACCTTTGAATGGTTTTAACAGAAAAAAAGATTGATATATTGATAGATAGATAGATAGATAGATGGATGGATGGATGGATGGATGGATGGATGGATGGATGGATGGATGGATGGATGGATGGATGGATGGATGGATAGATAGATAGATAGATAGATAGATAGATAGATTGCCAGCATTTTGCTAACATGATTTAACATGTTGCTAGCATGATTTAACACAATACTAATAATTTATAACACAAATTAACACATTGCTAGCATGTTTTAGCACATTTTTAGCATGCTTTAACCTAGTGTTTTTTTTGTTTGTTTGTTTGTTTTTTTGGCCTTGTCCCCATTTAAACCTCTTACAAAATTAGGTTGCTGCTGGAGAAGTGCTTTTCTATGGCCAGCAACTTCTATGTTGGGCTTGTTCCAACGGTGACAAATCAACAGTCTGATGTAAAATGATTCAGTGTAATTTTGATGTTCGATGCTGCTTTATAAAGGCAGAATGCGAAGCAGTCTTTTTCTGCTGAGATCTCCCTGCACTTTGAGAACCACTGCTTTAACCAGTCTATGGTTTTAACATTGCTAGCATGTTTAGCCACTGATCTATATAGATCAGTGGTTTTAGCACATTGTTAGCACGATTAACATGTTGTTATGATGTTTTAACATGTTGCTAACATGAATTACCATGTTGCTATCATGTTTTAACATGCTGTTATCACGTTTTAACATGTTGCTATCCCGTTTTAACATATTTAACATGCTGTTAGCATGTTGCTTGCATGTTTTAGCAGGAAGTTGCTTGGCTTTGTCAAGCTAGCAACATGCTAAATCATGTTATGAACATGCAATATGCTTAGACATGCCTGAAAGCTCTAGAACGAAGATGAATATTAAAAAGCACAACACAATACACACTTCACCTTTAAACATATACAGTATGTAGGCCTACAATATACATATTGCAAAACTATCTTTTACAACCACTGTAAAATGATCATGAAGCCCCTTTTGTGGAGTGAGAGTGCAGAAACCATAGATACAAACATGTCTTTTATTTAATGTTTTGCAGTCCACAGCAGATTCACAATATGAGGCATCAATTGAGAGAACCATGGAACTGTATTCAAATGTGAACCATCACTGGAACATCCCTTTATGGTCTCATAAAAACAAAGCAGTGAGATGACTCATGAGAAAACTCATTTTCGACAAAGAACATAAGATCATACATTCAAAAGAGATCTAAAGATTTGGTGTTATTATGGCTTCCAGCAGCTGGTGCTTGTCACACAGTCACCATTATGTCACTGAGGTCCTTGCGTTTGAGGTCAGGCACTTTGGCATCAGACGCAGGATAGCCAACAGGGAGCAGAATTAGAAGCTTCTCATTGGCTGGTCGCTGGAGGAGGGACCTCAACTGTGGACCACAGTTCAAAGGAGTGGTCGTCACGGTAACCAGCCCAACATTCTAACACCACAAAATGGAATATCACATGAAATTCAAATTCAAAGATCCACAAATGTTTGATGTGTACGCGCGTTTCCGAGTCTCACCTGCAGGGCGGCCAGCAGAATCCCACAGGAAATCGACACACTGATTTCATTGTAATAGTGAGTCTTTTTCTTGCCGTTGGGCAGAAGTCCATGTGTCTGCTTAAACACTAGGATCAGATACGGAGCCACATCCAAATACTCCTTCACCCAGTTTGTCCTGTGAAAGACACAGTGTATTACAAATATGATCACCTATTATTATTATTATATTACTCTGTACAGCATTACAACAACAAAAACAATAATAATCATAATTATTATTATCATTATTATCATATTACAGTGTATAGTATTATTATTCCTAATAAATATTGTATTATATTACTGTGTACTGTACAGTATTACAAAAATTACAATAATAATAATGGATTTAATTATATTATAGTGTATCATATTATAAATATATATTTTTAATTTTATAAATATTATTTTATTATTTTTATTATATTATATCATTATCATAGTATTATAAACATTATTATTTCTAATAAATATTGTTATTATATTACTGTGCACAGTATTACAACAACAAAAATATTAACACATTAATAATAATTCTTATAATTAAAATAATTCTTATACAAAATCTGTGTAAAGGATTACAACTATAATAATAATATATTATAATGGATCATATTATACATATATATTTTTTTAATCTCTTCAAAAGTTCTGCATCTTTATGCTCGACTTCTCTCTTCGAAGGTTTGGGGTCGAGATTATGTTTGCTGTCCACTCTTGTTTGCATGTATTTTAATTGTATAATATTATAAATATTATTGTTTCTTATAAATAATATTAATAAATTACTGTATATTGTTTTAGAATCATAATTCATTTTTTATGTGACCTCTTAACTGTTTGAAACATTGTTAACCATGGTAAAAAAAAAGAGAGATAGAAAACAGAAACCACAAGGGGGCACTAATATCATAGCTAAATGAGTTTATCAACTCATATTACTATTATTATGTGTCTGTAATTGTTATATTAAATTATAATGCATGATAAATACACAGTACAGTAAAACAAAACTAATAAACACTAAGCATAAAACTATATGTGAAAAAACATTTTTTTTGAAGCCTCTTGTCTATTTGAAACACACCGAAGTCTCTTCAGGTCATGGACCCACTTGTCTCCCATCCTTTGCTTGTAGTTGATCTCCTCCTCTTCCTCGACGATCTCTCTGATCTTGTGTTTCACATCGGCATCAGACACCACCACAAACGTCCAGGGCTCAGTGTGAGCTCCACTGGGGGCAGTGCCTTACACACACACAGAGAGAGAGAGAGAGAGAGAGAGAGAGTGAATGAAACGAAAGGGCTGGCTTTGACTTGTTTCCATCATGACGATTGGCTG